AGTTTGTTTTATTTTTTTATATTTTTTATATATTCATATAAAATATATATTTACATATTTTTTTTTTATGTTTACCTTTAAAGTTCATTTTTAATCCCATCGCAAACTATAATCTAATAATCTATCATCTATATATCTCACATATTAAATTTTTAGAAATCCTAACTTAAATTGTTAACGAAAATATTAATAAAAATACAATTTATATTTATTAATAACAATATACAAATTCTTTAAATTCAATTATGATCAATATACTCTTTCAGCAAAAAATTATTCTCCCAAGAGTATTCGGCTTTCAATAAAAATATTTCTAGACCTATAATATTTATGAAATTGCTGGGAATTTTTTTTATTTATTGTTATTTTTATTTTTTTATTACTTTTCTATTTGACTTTTGTCACGGCTGTCAGTAAATAATTCAAATGATTTTGCAACTAGATTTAGATTTCATGTTTTGTGTCGCCCGTCGGCTGTCGTTGGCGCTCAATGGAAATATATCTTTTAATATATAATATATATTTACATCTATGTATGTATGCATATGCCTGTGTGTGCATCTGTTCTGTTTACTCATTTAAATCGTGCAGTCGGTCGGTCGGTCGGTTGTTCGGTCATTAGGCGAGTGTCTGGGGACATATAAAAGCCAAAATTCGAATTAAATAGCGAACAGCGAACCATGGGATTTTCACAAAATGAGATATTCAAATGTTTTACTAAGAAATATGCATCTCAAAGATACTCAGATACATACATACATATAAATTACATATATATATGTATATATAAGTTTTATGAAAAGTAATACGTAGCTGGAACATTTTTGATTTCATTGTTGTCTGTTTGGTTGTGCTTTTCATTTGTTTCAACAGCTGGCCAAGCGCCACATGAGTAATTTGCTCCTCTTCCCCTTTTAGTTATATATGTATGTATGTATATGTATATGTACATGTGTACAAAGACTGCGCTGGTTTGTTGCCTTTTGCATGTTGTTTATAAACGCATGTGCTATATTTAAATAAAAGTTCCCAATTTGTTTATCTCATAGAATATTCACATGGTTCGAGTCACTTGTTCTGCTTACTCAAGAGAGTTACTCGGCGTGGAGAATTCGGAAAATCGGATTGACAGTGAAAATGTTACAAAACACTAAGCCAAGAGATACAAATCTAAATATAGTTTATATGACTCGGCAAACCTAGAACAAACATAAATGTGTTACGACTTCTCTAGCCGAGAGTGCTGCAATTGGAAGTAGCTAGAACTCAATCGTTAAATAGCTAATGTCGATCATGATCATTATCATGGTGACTGAAAGTTACCATTATCATCATTTTCGTTATTATTAGCTTATCCTTTTTTATTACGATCAGTGCTATAAGAATGACGATGGCATTACCATGACGATCATCAATATCTATTTATTATCATCATTACCTAAGTTATCATAATCAACTATATCGCAATTATCATTTTAATGTTCCGATCGTAATCATTCTCAACTTCTTTATCCTATTTATCAGCACTAGCATCTTGCACATTATTATAATTATCTTCGTCACTATCCTCAGGATCGTAATTAATACAATTAATAGTATCGGCATATTATAGCTATGATTATTAGTTTTAGGATCCCAACAGTATTCTTATAGGAACCACATTAATATAATTTTATATATGGTACTTCTAAGACCATATAAATAGAACAATTTTTTATCTAACTCTAAATGTCTGCATATCCCTATCAGATAATCTATATTTTCGGTGACTCAGTACTCACATAGACAAAATTAATGTATTCAGACAAAAGTATGAATATAAAGCTATATCGAGTAATTGATTAATGTAAATTCGATCCCATGGGAAGGAACATTCCGATTAGAATGCAGACACACAAAACGAGTATAATACTGGGGTCCATTATTATTATTAGAAATCAATCAAATTACATCGGGTTAACGACTTTTGCACATAAACACCAAGTTTGCTTTCGATTCCACGACACAAATTTACGAAATTCAGGGTTTTTTTTTACAATCGGCTAAAAATACATACAATCACAAATTTTGATACGATACTAGAAAGATTACAAAAATTAAAAACTGCAGCTAGGATCGGTTCTTAAACAAAATTCTCAAGCCTGTTTCTGGCCGTTCGACAGAACATGCAGCCGAACATTTGCTGTCATTCGATTAAACGGGACTTATGCGGTGCTTCAATAGTGTCCTGGGCACAGTCAGACCCTCGGAGACCTGCTGCAGCACTTCGGACTTCGAGCGGCTCTGCACCAGATTCCGTCCCACACGGGGCAGGAGCGAACGCGCCAGAATTGGCATAAGTACTTTCAAAATTATTGGAGACGGCATATTACGCAAAATTTACAATTTAAAAAGAGTCAAAACGGAAAACAAAAAACTCAACAAACAAATGCTTGGTTACAAACGGAAATCTATAAATCGAATAAACATTTTCCCACATATATTACGCATAGCTGATTTCAATCGAATTTACGATTGCTTAGATGCAAAACTTTTCCGAAACATTTCGAAGGTTGCTTGTCAATCTTCTCCCATCTGTATGTTTGAGGAAAGTCACGAAATTTTCCAATTAATATTCCAATGTATTTTTAAAAATTCCATTCAGTTGAAATTTCGAGCTCTTAGGAATGATCAGGAATATGACATAATGAATAATGGGCTTGATTCGAATATGAATATTTAGTTATATGTACATACATATAATATATATGTATGTACGAATCAGATTAGATTTTTCATCAATGAGATATACGAATTGCTTTGTTTACTAGATATGGGGAGATATACATATGTGTGTAAATATGTATTTGTATATACATATGTATCTGATACTGCATTAAAATTCGAAAAGAGTGAAAGTAGCTGAGAATGCATAAATATATGTATTTGAATGTATATATACATGTATACATATAAGTATATATTTGTATGTATGTATTCATATATTATTTTATATACAAAATTTACATTTCCCTTTCTGTACTTACATACATATGTACATATATACAGTTACACATTTAATTTAAGAATTATAAAGTATTACTTGCACTATCAATTATTGATATTGAAACTCACCTATCACATTTTTTCCATACATAAATGCATCCAAGAAACAGCACGCAGATGCAAAGGCATGTTAAAATATATTTCACACGATCTATGCCGCAAATGTCGGTCTTTAGATTATCATAAGTATCACGCGAGCTATTGAACAATTGATCACAGCGTATAAGATTAAAGACCGGACCCATTTTAACGAAACCCAACAAGCAAAAAAAAAAAAAGAAACTGAAGCCGAATCTAATAACTTTTTAGAGATCACGAAGAAATGAATTCATTAATTTCGAGCTTCACACATTTTGAATACATTTATTTCAGATATTTATTTAGATTATCCACAAACACTGGACCAGACGATTCTTCTGCCACATTGTATTTTGCGCACGAGTAAAATGCCGATATTTGGAAACCGCACAGAAAGTTGAAAATGTAAACAAATTATATTTCGCAATTACAAAAATACGGAGCAGCAACTAGTTTTCTATACGTACTTATTTTATTGTACTTGTGTTGCTTCAAAAGATATTTCGTATTTTAGATACACATATTGTATGTGTATATAGCATGTACTTATGTGTTTGTATGTGTGTATGCATGTATAGCGTATAGTATATTAACATAAAACGCACGCCGCGTTCGCGCTTTACTTTTAATTTGTGTGTTTTATCGCAATTATTGTGAATATAAACAAAACGGTAGAGACATTAAATGAAATATGCGCACGTTTCTACTGATTCGAAGAAGGCCGAACAATTTTCCCGTTAGTGGCAGCTGCTCCAACCGTCTGCAGCTGAGTAACGCAACGTACTGAAGGAAACGGTCAACGAAGAATTCTCGCTCAAGAAGCTGTGCGTGCGTGAGAGACAGACAGTGGGTGAGAGCAAGGGAGAGCGAGGGAGAGCGCCAGCTTGCAAGCAAAACAGCCGAGCGACCGAGCAACGGAGCGTGCATGCACGTGCAAGATCGCGCGAAAGCTTTCGCATTTTTCGTTTATTCTTTTACCTTCTGCAAGCGGCATAGCGAGGCATATCAAACAGAGATACAGGCATGCACTTGCAGGGAAATTTCAATTTTCAATTTCAATATTTTCTTAGCAAAGCCAAACAAGTTTTAAATAAATTATGTTTATTTTTACAGCAAGACACTAAAGTTCACATTTTACGTACTATTTTCATGTAAATATGCATGTACGAGGTATATTTGAGTTGAGCACTTGTCGAGTACTAGCTCCTCAATCTGTCGTTACGTAAGTTTGTTGATTTTTGTGTTGTCTGCATTGTTTTTGTTTACATGTGTTTTGCTTATTTGCCGGTGTTCGGCTACAGTTTGAGAGTCGCTGTGACTGCCAAACTGCATGGAAAGCGAAACGAGCCGGTTTGGAAATATAAAGAGACGATTTGAAAATATCTTTGCTGGCTTTTCATGTTTCAAAATGTAGAAAATAGGCAAAAATAAACTCGAAAATCATGCCACCTGCCATGTTTTTTTTTTTTTTAATATTTATTATTTATTTCCCCATTTTATTATTTCCCAAATTTAGGTTCTCCTCCTGCAGGTCGATAAATACGTGTCTCTTAAAATGCTACATGGCCTTAGGTTGCCCCAGAGAATGTTGCTTCCAATTCTAAAATGGGGAAGGCGCAGCTTGGCCAGTGATGCTATATTGCCCACTGTGCTGGTACACGGTGGTGCTGGGCACATAGACGCCGATAAGGTAGAGTGCGTCAAGTTGGGCGTCAAGCAGGCAGCGCAACGAGGCTACAAGGCTATGCTGGAGACGGGCAGCGCGCTGGATGCTGTGGAGCAGGCGGTCATGGTCCTCGAAGCAGATATTCACTTCAACGCCGGCTTTGGATCCGTGCTGACAGAGGACGGCAATGTGGAAATGGATGCGTCGATCATGGACGGCTCCCGACTGGAAGGCGGCTGCGTTACCATGGCACGGAACATAATGCATCCCATTAGCCTGGCCAGGTGTGTCATGGAGAAGACGAATTATCGGTTTCTAGCAGGCGACGGCGCCATGCGATTGGCCAAAGAGGAAGGATTCGAAATTCTACCCAAGAATTCGTTGGTCACAGAGGCATCGCAAAAACTCCTGAAAGTATTTAAGACTTCAAATACTGACACGCTTTACAATGTGGTTCCAGGCACCGTTGGCGCTGTGGCCATCGATGCGTGTGGCAATGTGGCAGCAGCGACCTCAACAGGTGGTCTAACAGGTAAGTTGTCGGGTCGTGTGGGGGATTCGCCAATACTGGGAGCTGGCACCTATGCGGACAATGAGGCAGGTGCTGTCTCAGCCACTGGGCATGGTGAGTCGATCATGCGCTACAATTTGAGCTCACGCGTGTTGGCGCTGGTGCGGCACAAAGATTATTCGATACAAGAGGCAGTGGAAGAGATGCTACAAAATATGACCGCTCATTTCAAGCAGACGGGCGGCCTCATTGCCATCGATCATCGAGGCCAGCTGGGCATCTACTTTACCACTGAACTCATGTCCTGGGCCTATCAGCAGGGCAACGAGCTGCACTGCGGCGTGGAGGTTGGCGAGGATGAAGTGGAGATTGTGGACGATGATACATAGCAGAGCTTAAAGAAATAGATGTTTAGAACAGAACGTTAAGCCATATTTTATAATCTATATCTATAATAAATAAACATTTTCTAATTTAAAACTGGTCGCAGCCAGAACAATCAGATTGGAAACCATTTAAATGGAGCTACAAAAATCACAGCTTCCGCAGATGGTGAATAAGCGATTGCCCGTTGGCTGTGCCTCTATGAAGAACTGCAGCGCCTGGGTGCAGTGCAGCTCGTGTTCGTTAACTTTCTGTTGAATCAATTGCTCCAATTGCGGCTTGTCTGCGGCGTGCTCGAATCGTGCACCACATTCGCAAGTATATAGAGATTTGAAGCGCTGCAGCGACTTGATCAAACACACGGGACAAATCAGTTCATGATCTTTTGAATCGGTGTCCGGCTCAGTATACAGTGCTTCCAGGTGCTGCTCTTGTAGGGCATACCATTCGTTCACATCGGAGAGCAGCTCCTCATAGACATGTTGTTCCAATTCCAAATCCTGGTCCAGTTCTTTTAGCTCTAACCGTAAAATTTCTTCGAGCTCCGACTAGAAATCAAGTTTAATTAACTAATTCTTAATATTTTGTTTCACCAACTAACCAGTTGCACTTTACGATTTCCATCGACTCTGTCGTTGCGTGCATTTAAAATTCGTATGCGACATTTCTGTGGATTGAAAAACTTGGAAGTTTAGCTCCAGGGAAATCATTATATTTTTTTGCTTACCTCTCGTAGCAGGTCGCGCAACTTTGGCATGCCTATGCGCTGTTGTCTGGCCACATTTTGTGCATGACGTTTTTGCTCGACACTTGTATGGTTAATGGGACTGCTGGGACACTGCATTTGAGCACAGAATACTAAAAAATAAGCAATAAAATGAACTGTCCACAAATTGTGAAATGCGCGGGCGAACGCCACCAACCACAGCTGATTTTTCTTATCGGTAATTTATCGAACTACAACCATGGAATTTTTACAGTGTTTAACAACACTGCTGCACAGAGTTGCTTTGTGTATATTTTGACAGTCGCAACATGGCGTACATCGAGCTTCCGCTCTTTCTTTCCCTTTCTTTTACCAACGTGCATAGTGTCTAGTAAAAGGTTAGTGCTATATTTTCAAATTTCTCAACGACAACCGTTCTAAAAATGATGCAAATTTGTGCCTTAAACAGATGCCAGCCCCGGCCGCTAAGAAACCAGCAGCTAAAAAGCTGCCCGCTGTGCCGGAATCCAAACTGAAGTTCAGCAAGAAACAAATCAGCAAGCGTGTTGCAGAGACGAAACGTCGGCTGAAGCGTGTCGCTGTCATTGCCCTGCGCAAGAAGGAGAATCTAGTGCGTGCCGAAAAGTACCAGAACGAGTACATCAAGGCTGATCAGCGTGAGATCAAGCTCCGTCGCTTGGCCAAGAGCCGTAATCAGTTCTACGTGCCCGCCGAAGCCAAATTGGCATTCGTTGTGCGTATTCGCGGGTGAGTGAATTTGTCAGAATCATGCAAGTATTGTTATTAACTGCTAAATTATACACTTGCAGTATCAACAAGGTTGCACCGAAGGTACGCAAAGTGCTGCAGCTGTTCCGTTTGCGCCAGATCAACAATGGTGTGTTCATCAAGCTGAATAAGGCCACCATCAACATGTTGCGTATTGCCGAGCCCTACATCACCTGGGGTTACCCCAATCTGAAGTCGGTGCGCGAGCTGATCTACAAGCGCGGCTTTGTTAAGCATAACCGCCAGCGTGTTCCAATCACCGATAACTTTGTTATCGAGCGCAAGCTCCGCAAGGCGCATGGCATTCAGTGCGTTGAGGATTTGGTCCATGAGATCTTCACCGTTGGACCCAAATTCAAGTACGCCTCCAACTTCCTGTGGCCCTTCAAGCTGAACACGCCAACCGGCGGCTGGCGCAAGAAGGCCAATCACTACGTAAACGGTGGTGATTTCGGCAACCGCGAGGACAAGATCAACAGATTGCTGCGCAAGATGGTCTAAACAGCTGAGGTGTGCAGTGAAATAGTTTAAAACAGTAAACGGTCTGGCAAACAGCGAAAGAAATAAAATTAATTCTTTTTATGAAAGTACTACAATGCCGTTCACAAAATCAAAAGGGTTTTCATTTTCTGTTGCCATTTATGTTTCATTAGACATACTGCAGAGATTGGATATGAATATAAAAAATATTTTGTTGACAAATATATGAAGTTATAGCAACTAGTTTTTTATATCCACTATAGACTCTGCACTGTCAGATTTTAAACATGCATTTCATTTTATTCAATTGGACTTCAATTAGATATGCTTTGTTTTTGCATGTTATTTAATTTTGAACAAACTCAAAATCAAAATTTATTGATCAAGCCGGTCGATTCTCAATATGTAAAAGCAATTTATGCCGAGTGCAGTAAGTTAGAGATGGACCTTAACATAAAATCACAATTCAACCGTGATCGTGATTATGTTAATCGGTCTGTTAAGTTAACAGTATGACGACAGTTTTTCAGAGCTTAATATTTTCTGAACCCTTCTCTAAAGTTGTTTACAAAGCTTAGAAATCTATAATTTGGCCACTCTCTAATGAGTATATACCCACATATACATATGTATATTTATATCTTGGAAGAATGTCTATGGTCATCCACTTGAACAGGCTAAGCCACCGCAAATCGGCATTTCAAAATATCTGAAAACTATTGATATGCAAAAATTCCACATTTTGAGTCTTGTGAGATAAAATGAGATATATGTTTATTTTTACAATTATAAAATAAGAATTATCAATTATACGGCCATTTCCATTTGAATCTTTCCGTACGGATTGTAACCAACAATTTCGAAATCTTCGTAGCGAAAATCCTCAATATTCGTAACTTGCCTCTTGAAAACAAGTTTGGGGAAGGGACGTGGTTCACGTTTCATCTGCTCCAGCAGGGGATTCACATGATTGTTATAGACGTGAGCATCGCCCAGTGTATGGACAAAATCGCCGGGTTTTAAGCCCGTCACATGGGCGATCATGTAGGTCAACAAGGCATACGAGGCGATGTTGAAAGGCACTCCCAGACCCATGTCGGCGCTGCGCTGATACAGTTGGCAGGACAATTCACCACGCGACTGCGATACATAGAACTGCGCCAGGCAGTGGCACGGCGGCAACGCCATTTGGGGTATGTCCAAAGGATTCCAGGCGGACATTATGATGCGACGATCCGCCGGATTGTTGCGTATAGTATCGATGACCTGTTTCAGCTGATCAATACCCTGGCCGGTGTAGTCGTCGGTGCATTTACCATATTTTGCGCCAAAGTGACGCCACTGGAAGCCATATACCGGACCCAGATCACCCACCTCGCGATCCGTGTGGCCACATTTGTCGAGAAACTCGCGGGTGCTATTACCATCCCATATGTGTACATTCTTCTCCTGCAGGATCTTTGCATCTGTCTGCCCAGCAATGAACCAGATCAGCTCCTCGGCCACGCCCCGAAAGAAGACGCGCTTGGTGGTCAGCAAGGGGAACGAATCGCGTAGATTGAAGCGCATTTGGGCGCCGAAAATGGATCGGGTACCCACCATGGTACGATCCATCCGCTCGTCACCATTATCGATAATCCTTTTTATCAAATCCAAATACTGCTCTTCATCTTTGTTCCTCAATTTCTCAATTGGATTATTCTCTTTATTTCGTTTCTCGAGTGAACACTCTTCATCCATTGACTTCATCAGCGCATCCAAGCGCCTTTTGGCAGGGGAAAGAGTTTCCTTCGCAGGGGAAGGCAATTGCTTTGAAGGACTGACCATTTCCGGAAATTAGAAAACAATTTTATCGGTTGATCACTGTCGATATTAGTTGACTCAGCTTTTTGGCGGTAAAACTTGTGCAAAAGCCCGCCAGAGATATTGAGAAAATACAACCGTGTGAAATGGCGATAAAGTCAATTTGAAATTGTTGATGCGATAAACAAATCGTTAAAATTTTAGAATTTTTAATTTACAGATTCTACAGATTGTTCAATGATATTCAATTATTTGAATTACCTTATCTGCATTCTGCAACCGCTCAACAAAATGCACATTTCGCGGAGTTTCGAGAGAAATAATTGTAAATATTTGCAAAAATGGGCAAACATTTAGAATGTTTCATGAAACTTATATTTATCTATTTATTGCTCAATTTGGTTGACCAAAGTGGGATGTCACTATCGGACTTCATGCATAGAAAAAGCAATTTACGTTCTCTATTTACGAAATATTATCGATAAGTATCGAATGGTGTTATAATTTACGTGCCGCATCCACATCCGAATTTTATGTATTTTTATATTTAATATGCATCTCTCACTGCACTAAAGGAAGGTTTTGTCGATTTAAACCAACAAATATGTGGTTATTTTAATCCTTTTAAAAAGGCATTTATCGATCGTATCGATAGGTTTTCATAGTCATTTCAAATCGGTTGCTCGTTAAGATAAATCACTGACCAGTGGATAAATCCAACTTTGTTTTTTAATTGTTATAACGTTTTATCATAAAATCCATGAGTGCTGATTTAAATACTATTGATTTATAACTGTTTTTACAGGGTTGTAAGAAATTTGCTTTGACTATTCGAATATTTGAAATTGTCAGCAATAAATGAACAATTGAAAAAATGTTTAAAATATCATGTTAAATCAAATACTAATAATATATTATCCTCTTTTGTTTAGCTTTTTTCATCGCAGCTGGCAGTGCTTGTTAATTGTATAACTGAAATACACACATTTAAGTATATTATTTCGCATAAGAAAAGTCGAAAAAGTAAACAACAAAATCAAAAGATGTGAAAAACAGCAATTTACAGATCTTTGTGTTGTTGTCAAAGCATATGCGATTTATATAGAATTTTACATTTTACTTAGTCTATACGCTAACGGTGTTACGCGCAATTGTCCTTTATTGAATTATAGATTGTTTTGTTCTTTTTACTGATGTGTTGTGGTAACATGTATATTCTGTACCAGACGCTGTCCCCAATACTCTTCCAGATTGAATGGTTTGAAATTTTTTAATTGATTATCAGATTCATTGCAGTATATTTCACCCTGTTCGCTCACCTGTAAGCAGACGAAAAACAATTTTAGAAAAAAAATATATAATAACACATTAATCCACACACTATGAAGAAAAATGACCTGCCACAAGATGCTATAAATTGTCTGACCAAATATATATATATATATGTGTCATCTATATACTCACTTTATTCCAAGCCTCGCGAATGTAACGTATTAATTCATCGTGCTGTGATATGGGTACATTTTGCTGCTGCTGTTGTTGTTGTTGCGAGACAGTTGCATAGAGCACATTGGTGTTAGTTGTTGCATTATTAATGCTATTATTGGAGTATTGTGTGCTATGCGATGTGTTTGTTGCTGTTGATGCCGAAGATGGCGAAGCAGCCGATGCTGAATTTGCATTATTATGATGATGATGGTTGTGTGGTCCGTTGCCACTGCCCTGGCGGCGAATGTAGGGATAGCGTCTATAATAAAGTTATATATTAGGTTAGCCAACTCAGTTTTTCAATATCGCAAAATATATCGTGTAGTTTTTCGTGCAAAACACACACACACACACACATGCATGCACATCTACAGTCGCAAACACCCTCAATCACTGAGTGTTTACTTTTTTCAATTTGTATGCGTCACAAGCTTAGTGTAGTAGAAACATCTTATGCGTGTCAAGCGAATATCTGGCTTACCCATTGTTGCGTTCCATTTTGTAATTGTGTTGATAGAAAATATTGCTTTAGTTGCTATTTTTTGTTTATCACACAATTCCCAAATCTATTATTGGGAGAATTGTGAGCTATTTTTTTTCTTTTCGTTGTTGCATTTGACAATATTATCGATTGGCCGCTTATCGATTAATTAAAATGTGTTGGCAGCGCCAAAAGGCGGTTGATTAACACAGCCCAAAATATACTTAACAGCGGCTGCTACTCGCAGCCGTTAAAAATATGAAAACAAACCTTCCACAATTTTTACAATTTCGTTTTACGTTTATTTCTATAAAATGCATAACATATATATTTTGTTCAACTGTTAATAATTATTGAAAAAATAGCTGCACATATGCGTATACATACACTTACAATATAAAAAGGAAATGTAGATAGAGAGCAATCATATAAAAATTTTTTACAAAAGAATTATCATATATGTATTTATGTAAATAGTTCTTACTGAGCATTGTTAAACACAACACCATGGTTTTAATCAATTATCATTTCGACAATATGACCATCTCATATGTATTTCGATAATAAAACCTACTTTTGTCTTTAACATAATAAAATGCACATTAGTTAAAATTTTTTTTCGTCATTAGATTTGGCAGCACCAAGGTAAGGGAAGGTATATATGTAGGTAAATTACTGTTTGATTCGTGATAACATATAATTTTATGCCTTTGTGCTGCATAACATATGTATATGTATTACGAATAACAGTTAGATTTGTGCTAATAGTTTCAATTTCTTTAAAAATAAACTATTTTGGCGATGCGTTGTTTACGATCTGAAGTAAACAACAATTATTTTACATTTATAACATACACAAACATATTATTACAGCACTGCTGGGAAACAATTGAGAACCTTGAAGCAGCACTCCCATTAGCTGTTGTCGAAGTAGTAAAACTGAAGTATATCAAGGATGATATTGGAAATTAAGGTGACCACATTCTTACATCGAGAGTATATCAAGGATAGCCAATGATATTGGAAATTAATGTGACAACATTCTTACATGGAGAGTGCATTGCTGATCGATTGTTTTCCAGTTGCGCCAGGAATTTAACATACGTAGAGATTACAGATCATCATCGCCAATGCCCTCGAATGCTTCGTTGCGCACGGACGCAGCCGTGTCGTCATTGCGAAAGAAAACAGCCGCAAAGGTGCGAGCCGTTGTCAGCTTGTGTTGCTGCTTGGAGCGTTGAGCTAGAAACTTAACCGGCGGCGTCATTGTGGTCGATGTGCCTGATGTTGTGGTGCAGGACGAAGAAACGGAACTGGGCGTCGATGTGGTCGATTCCGATGCGCCACGTGAGGTGCTCGCCTCCTGCTCATCATCGCTGCCGCCGCCGCCACCATTGCTGCCATTGCTGTCGCTATGCAGCAGCTCATCGACCATCGCCTGCAGGGACACAGACATCAGCATCGCTTGCTGGCTGGTGATAGTTATCCAGCGGAGTGTTTGCTTCGACATGAGATACTCAAAGGACAACTGCAGCTGCGTGGGCTGGTCCCGCGACTCGTACGTATTATGCATCGCACTCACTCGCCAGCATCGCATCCGTGTGACCCGGAATTTGGTCTCATAAATCTTGGCACCGCGTGCCGTGCGTAGGCTTAGCTCCCGATTACCAATGGTCACCAGCGCTGTGGTGTCCAGCTCCGGATAGTCCACTTGCGCGGCGCCGAACTGCAGACAGCCATAGGAGGGCAGTTGACGCACTAGCTCCAGATATTGCAAGGGCCGCGACTGCAGTTGCAAACTGCACAACTCCCGTCGCATTTCGGGCGTACAAATGATCCATTCGCGAGCCACATCCGCCAGCGTCTGATTGTAGAGTAGGTTGAGTGCGACACTGTTGCCCAGCAGCTTGGCATCCCAGCGTGAGTTCCAATAGCACGTGCGCAAGAGCAATTGACAGGGCTGCGCATGCATGCGCGAAATGTAGGGCGATTCGAAGTCCATCAGGCGACGCAGTAGCAGCACGGCGGACGGATCATCAGGTGTGGAGGAACAGGAGGAGGCTCTCTCTTCGGGTGCCTCCACATGTCTCATGAGATACAAACAAAAGAATTGCATTAGTTCGTCGGGCAGCTGCAGCATGCGGCAGACGGACTGCAGCAGAGCGCTTGCATTCTGCTGCACATGACAATTGACCAGCAATTGCACACCACTTCCTCCTCCCGGTCCTGGTGCCCAGCCACTATACACCTCCACCTGGAGCTGCTGTTGCTCATCCTCGCGACCCACAGAGCACTCGGCCAGCGCCGTGTCCAATTGAGCGCGCTGCAAAAACTGTTGCAAGTATGGGAGGCGTGCGATTCCCGCATCCTGGCCAATGATCTGCAAATAGTGCTCCAGTGCGGCACGTCGAGTCTCCAGCTGACTGTTGCTCAATGGCAGCAGTCGCTTGGGTGGGAATGGCGGCAAGGCGGCGTCCGCGCAACGCCTACGCAGCTGTTCGTGCAACGCGTGCAGCTGCTTGTAGCGCAAGCAGCAATGATAGTTACCATTAATGTAGATATTGTATACCGTGTATGTGGGCGAGCCACCGCTCCCATCCGCATACTGTTCCTGTGTGTCTGGTATTGAGAAATGCATTTTGTTGTAGTTGTGTCGCTGTTGTTGTCGTTGTTGTTGGACGCTGTTGTTGATGCGTTCACTATTTCATTGCGTTTTACTTGCACGTCATTGACGTCTCTAGCCTTTTGTTGGCCGATTAGTCACTGCGCTCTTTTATTTGTACATGTATTAATTTATTTAATTAAAGATATTGCGATTGAGTTTTTTCACCTACACGCTGGAGGTGAGCAACTCACTTTGGCACTATCGATTCATTTCATTTATTGACTTATCGGTTTTTAAATTTCAGATATTAGAGATGGGTTCTAAAGCGGAAAAATTCAACATGTACGAATATGTTTTGAAGTTAACGTGATGTAAGAAATAATATTATTACAGTTTCTTATTATTAATAGTTTTTTCATATGATTTGATTTTAAGATTATAAAACCTAATTTAAAATAAATTATTTTATTATCTTGGTAATTTAAATATTTATTTTGCATACATGTTAATGTTCTCTAGTAGAAACTAAAGTAAAATTAGAATTAATACGATTTCCTTTTTAAAATCGTATTTTGAATACTGTATGGTAATTTATTTGTCATTTTAATCTTCGTTTGATTTAAGTAAAAATAACAATAAAATAGGGTATTTTGCCTGTCAGCATTATAAATTTAAAACTAACGCACATCGCTAAAGATGGTGTATCGTTTACAGCTAACTATCGACAAATTACCTCTCAGTTTTTACAATTCGAAAATTAAATATGTATGCGAACTATTCTTTTGAAAGGTTAATTTTGCTCAAATTAGCTTCAGGGTAGCTAAGTTTAATAATTCCAAGCATTCAAATTATTGAGATCCATTTTTCAAAGGCTGCTGCTCAGCTGAGTCAGCAGCTGATCTGCACCTATCAGCTGAGTGTGTTTTTAAATTAGGTAAAACGTGGACGCCACGAGAATAGATCAACAATCATATCTTGAATGGAATTGCCAAGACAAAGACCCCACCATGACATTGGAGCTCTCTTTGCTGACACCCAGGGTTTTCTGCGGGTCAGTGCTCCCATGGTGCGATACAGTAAGCTGGAGTTTCGCAGATTGTTGCGACAGAATGGAGTCCAATTGGCGTTTACCCCTATGATGATAGCGGATTCAATCAACAACAGCGAGAAGGCTAGACAGAATGAGTTTACGACTGGCCTCGATGATCAACCTCTCATCGCTCAATTTGCAGCCAAGGATGCACTGGAATTTGTTACAGCGTCACAACTCATTTATCCCTATGTGGATGGTGTAGATTTAAATTGTGGCTGCCCGCAAGGCTGGGCAATAGCCAAAGGCTATGGTTGCGGTCTTTTGCGGCAGCCTGAGCAGGTGCGCGACATTGTTCAAAGTTTGCGGCGCACACTGCCTACAGATTTCAGCGTATCGGTGAAAATGCGTCTCATGAACAGCAGCGATAACCAGACATCAGTGCATAAGACAATTCAGCTGGCTCAGCAATTGGAGCATTGTGGCGTCACATTCTTGACGCTGCATGGACGGACACCCGCACAGAAGCATTCCAAGGATACACTTAATGTGGAGGCCATGGCCGAAGTCGCCAAATCTCTGCAAATTCCACTGATAGTCAATGGCAATGTGGAAAGCTATCAAGATGCCTGCAAGCTGCACAAACAAACGCAGGCCGCGGGCGTCATGGCTGCCCGTGGATTACTTGCGAATCCGGCCTTGTTCAACAGTGACTATCCACTGGCAACTTCAACGCCAAAGGTGTGTGTACAGCAGTGGCTGGACATCGCCGAGTCTGCGGGTGATAATTTGCATTTCCAGTGCTTTCATCATCATCTGAGTTTTATGTGGAACAGCGCAATGAAACGCGCCTTACGCGTTCAATTCAACAGCCTCTGCAGTAGAGAGCAAGTACTGCAGTTCTTGGCCGAGCACTATGATATCCGGCCTAGCTCTAATAGCTCAACCTACCAATATACAAATTGTACTTATACCCACTTCACGCCACCCAAACATGCTCGCCACCTGGCCGTGGAGGCGGAAGATAGCGGTTGGGATGCTAGAAGCGATGGTAAATATTTCACAGACTTCAAAAGTCAGCAAGTCTCCAGCGAAAACGGGGACGATCTTGATCTGGGTGGACTATTCCTAGACGACGATTGATGTGTGCTTAAAATCAGTTAGATATAAGTTTGTGTGTATTTTTGAGGTGGTTTGAGGCGACAGTTACATGTAAATAAATTAAATGGTATTTCTTAAAAGTACGTTAACACACAACGTACTTCGAAATTTATGCAAAGCGACTAAACTTCTTTTAGGAATTTTAAAATGTATATATCGATAGTAAGTTTGAATACTTACACCATATGTTTGGTAAACTGAAATCGTTATATAAGTCTAGCTGCTAAAGACTGAAATCTTTTCATTTTATTGTAATAATTATAAAAACAACCGACACAAAACGTCCATTTTGACTTATTTCTTATTCATACCCTACTCGATAGTCGGTAGCTTAAAAATATCGGTACATCAAGCGTCACCCATCACTAAAAACAAAGCAGGAAAGCAAAACAAAAGACAAACATTATAAAATGCGTCGCCGGGAACTACAGACTATACAACTTAAGCTCTCAGAACTCAAAGAGTATGAGCAGGCTAAAATGGAGCGTGCCAAGGCACGCCAACAGGTGCCGTCGCCACGCACACCCACACCCACCTCGGACAGCGACATTATGTTGCTGCCCTCGAGCAGTGTGCCGACAATGTTATTTGCTAACAACAGCAACAACGCCGACGATGAAGCTGAGGGAACGGCCAAGGAGTCAAGGGATGCATAAGTTGCGCTTATAGTAATGGTAAGTTGACCTTTGTAGTTATGATTACAATTTCATATTAATGTTAATTTACATTAATACTCATTATTACCAATGCTGCTACTGCTATTGTTGTTATTGTTGTTGTTCTGAAAACGCACCGTCTCAAAGCCATCCACGAGTATCTCACGATCCTCGGTCTGTTGGCGCTCACGCAACCATTGCTCCCGCACTGGCACATATCGACGCAGTCCCGGCCACTTGCGCCAACAGCGCCGCTTATAGAGCAGCCAAACCAGCGATAATCCGCATCCAAAGAAGAAACATAACAGAAATATGCTTACACCACGGACATGCGAATGAATCTCTTCCTTCCCCTCCTGCGCATGTTCCTTTGTCTTAGCTGGCTGTAGACCTTCATTAGGAATCTCCGGCGCTATCGTTGGCGGCATCTTGCTTTGCTCCGCGTCGCACCACGTAATTGCCACATAGTTTGTGATGACATCTCCAGCTAGCGAATGAACGCGCACGGCACACTCGTTGTAGGTGCCGTTCAATGAGCTCTTATGCACGTAATTCGCCAGGGCATGCTGACGTCGCGTTATACAGCTCAGATGCGTTTCGGCCACCTGCTCGGACACATTGCTGCGATAGTGCAGCACGTAGTTAACAATCAATCCATTCGGTTGATCTGGCTCTGCAAAGCGCACAATGTAGTCCATTGTCTTGGGGAGACGGCATGCCATTATCAGCGGCAAATCTGCGCCGATTGTGAAATTTGTGCGCTCGTGCACCGTCGTGGAGCTGCTGCAGCCGAGCATATTGCAAGCCTGCAATTGCAACGAGTATAAGCGATAACGCTCCAGCTGGCGCAGCTCATAGGCCGTCACATTGGCATCCAGGCGCAGCTGTTTTCCCGACTTTGCCCCCACGGGCGTGCAGTTGTCAGCCTCATCCAGACTGCAGCGATACATGTCAGCCATTTGGCTAATGAAATCCTGATCGAGCGCTTGATTTGCCTGTCGGGCACAGCATGCATCGTAGTCATCTTGTTCCTGGCGCCATCGCACTGCTTCCATGTCCTGCCTGGTCGCCGGTTGCCGGCAAAAATTGCGCTCATCCATGTAGGCGACATCGTCTGCCAGCTCGTGCACGGTTAACATATAGTACTCCAGCTCCTTCCCATTCAAGCGCAGCGTTAGCGTATTGTCCGTCTTTTTGTTTACGGCCAGTGAAGGAGGCTTCGGTATATCCATGTGCGTTTCCACGTACATCAAATCGCTCCGTGCATCGTGCTGCGCATCGCCTCCAAAGGTACGCAACAAGCAGGCGTAGCGCGTATGCGGACGAAGCTGATCCAGCTGATAGCTGTAGTGGGTGCCATTATCTTGAAGATCGTCCGCAAAGAGCAATAGTCTCTGCCAGTTGATGCGCGTGCAGACTGGCGCCTCCAGTTCGCTCTGCTCGGCGTATTTTGTGCCCAACGGCACGGTTCTATAAATCAGCTCCAGCTCCACGCTCATTTGAGATTTCAGCCAGCTGAGTTGCACTGTGCGATGCGATGTGGGCTGTACAGGATAGAGGGAATCTACATTTGCTTCAAATCCTTTTATAGAGATTAGCTATATATGCTGTAGGCAGGCTGACTCACCTGCACGATCAACTGCAGCTTGGCTGGACCGCAAAGCACCTCCTGATCGCTGGTCTGTAGCTTGTCCATCACCTTGTCGTGTATGACGCGATCCTGAAACTCTCTGATATGCCTGTTGCACAGCTTATTATTGCGATCCATGTACATGCCGCCGGTAATAAACTCCAGCTGCTTGGTTGGCTCCCACAGTTCGGTGAGCTGCTTGTTGTCATACAGCACGAAGGCGAAATGGCGATTCTCGAGCGGATCGCCGTGTATGCGGCGCAGGTTGCTCAGAAATTTTAAGCTGCTCAGCTGGGAGGCACTAAAAATAAACCATTCAATAGACAGTCCTGTTTTTGGGATGTCATACGAACCGATAGATCTTCAAATGTCCACGTATTTCGCGTAGACTGCTGAAACTCTGCTCCAGCTGCTCCTCGTTGACCTTGTTGCGTATGGTGATGATGAGGCTGCTGTTAACAATTTGGCAACCGCGCAATTCCTCGGCATCGGCCAGATTGTAGATGACAATCATTCCATCCATATGCTCCGGCGAACAGACGCTAATGCATGCCTCCAGCGGCGCACAGCGTACGCATTGTGATGCGGCATTGGCCTTGTAGCCGCTGGGACAGAATGCGACGCACTTGTAGCCAAACGTGTAATGGCCATGAATACGGATGCATTCGTCGCGGGTGTAACAGCGTTGATAATGCTCCAGCACATACCTGCAAACGGACTAAGACTAAGTGGCAATCAACCAGACGCCAAGCCGGACGTGGCTCAGCTTCTCACTCACTTGTTTGGCGGGCAACGCTTCACACAGACACCCGCATCCGTTAGTCCTCGGCAGACCACGCAGCCTGCGGCTGTTGCATTGTGACAGCCGCCCAGGCAGTCCTCATGGCAGCTCTGCAAATTTCTGTATAATGCAACAGAGTACGAAACAATTCAAATTGCTTAATTTTTTTAAAATATTGTCCCATGCTCTAACTACATAATCCAAAGCTTAGTCTTTACTAAGTTTAACCTTCTTGCAATAACATCATTGGCTTCAATTAACATTAAAATGTTAGTGTTAAGCTTCTCTTAACTGATTGCCTCGAAAAAACTAACATTGAAATGTTAAATGTCGAAACTGTGCAATCGCTTTCAATGATAATTTCCGAGTTTCTTAATTGTTTTTTCTTACGAAAATGATAAGTTGATAAGTCATAAAATAATATTGACAAGAAATCCATACACCCACCGATCATAATGTACCACATTATCGTTTTCGAAGCGTTGGCAGGTGAAATTCGACCAACAATAGTTGGAGGCGCAACCTTTGCAGTTAGCACGATGCGTACAGTTGTTGGATCCACTGACAATATGATTCTCCCCAGCACTCAGAGTGAGTCGATCCCAATTGACCTATAGAAGGAGAATTGTCTAAGCACATCTAGATATCACGAATTATGCATACCCTATTCAGCTGGCAGAGCTTGGGGCAGTTGCCGATGTAGACGTGTCCACGTTGTATGGCAACTAGAGATTTGAATTCCAACTGAAATAGAGAGAACAATAATATCGATAATCGATCAGAAGATTAAGCTCTTTCAAATACTACATGTGAATTTTACTTGCCTTCTCAAGTCAATCAATTCTTATATATCAATAAATTATATAATATATACATATCTCATCATTTCGCAATTTTCTGCATAATAATTTTCACTTACCAGTTCTAAATCGGGCATACTGCTAATGCCCAGAGCATAATTAAGAAAGAGTTTTCGGCCGCGTATTACAGTGAGATTGGGAAACATATCACGGATGTTGGTCAAGTCCTTTACCTCGGTGAATATCATAAAGTCCGTGATTTCGCGTAATTTGGGAAACGAATACGCCGTAAAGTTGCAATTGTGACTGGGCAGCAGTGTGATCATTACATAGCCAATGACCACTGTGCAGTTATCCAATAGTTTCATTTTGCTGCATTCGTTGCGTATATCTATGCTGGTGCACTCTCTGAACTCGGCTGATGGATTTGGCTGTGTGGCTGCCAAGGCCGAGGCCAAGGCGAAGATATTAGCTAGCGCTAGCAACATGTTTCCAAGCTTTAGCAGCATGTTGCCAAGGGTCTGCTGGTCGTGCGTGCTTATAATTGTTGCTGAAAATGCGAATGTTGCTGTTGGTATTGTTGTTGTTGTTGCTCTTGTGTTGTTTGTTGCTGTTGTTTACATCGGCGTCTTTTCAACATTGCTCAGCTTTCTGCTTTTTCATCTGATTTGTTTATATGGTGTATTTTGCCGTTTCTCTGTCTTTTTCGCACTGTTCGCCTAATTAGCGCATTGGCTCTTGCCGATCGCACTCGAATTCCCCGATTAGCTGCAATTTATGAGTTTCCACACTATCGTCAACAAAAATCTCCCGCGCGACTTCAGCTAAATTTTGGTCACCAACTTTTTTTCGCTTAGTTGTCTAAAAAATCACACAAAGTAAAAACACACACAGGCACGAACACAGTTGAAATGATTATTGCAGCTTCTGCAAAAAATCACAACGTCGCCTTTCTTCCTCTTTTAAGCGCGAGTATCGAACTGATTTGATTTCAATATTGCGGTACTTTGGCTGCAGAATCTTTCCATTAGCAGCGTTGCCACTAAACTCAAACTACAAGAAGGAGCTGATTAAAATATAAAATGGAGAAGAAATATCAATTTAAAAAATATTTCATCTGAGAAAAAAATCTTTTTTATTTGATGTCCGCTCAGCAACAAATTATTAAGTGCATTTTGAATATTTCTGTTATTTTAAAAATAATTATTT